ATCGTTCATAATAATTATACTCAAACAGTAGATGTATCACCAAGTATATCAAGTAATCAAACACAATGGTCTGCTATGAGTCGTGAACCTACAAATAATTCATCATTTCGTTATCAATTTTATTTACCACCTAACCAACAACTATACTCAACATCAGCAAAACAAATACGAGGATATGCAGATTTTCCACTTTTTTCAACACCTTTCTATTTACCTTTTAATGGTCAAAGTAATCTTTCTTATAATCGTTCTAATCCATATGTAGCTCAAGCTTACAGTCACATAGATGCACCAACACTACCATCGATTTATAACATAGGTCGTTCACGATCAATACTTACAACAAGTACTACTGATCCTTCTCATGTAACATCAACAACAGATGTCATCCAAACAACTGGTAATGAACATCGAACAGAATCTTATCGAACATTAAAACATGTTGAATCATCAATGACAACAGATAAAAATGAACAATCTTTTAAAGAAAATATCGATGATGAATCTCATCTAGTAAAACGTTCTGTATCTGCACCAATTGATATGTTTTTAATTGATATTTCAAAAGAACATGCTCGTATTGGTCAACCTGTTTCAATGAATATTCGTCATTTACTTTTGGATACATTAGAAAATAATCATAGAAATTCATCAACACCAATTCGTATCGAACCAACTTCAATTACTAAATATGCACATGAAAATCTTCTAAATTATATTCCATATGTTTGTGAAAGATATCCAAATGTTACTGTTGATTCTAATCAACTTACACGTAATACACTTCATGTTCGAATGCCATCACAATTTTCTCGTTCACTTAATGTTTTGACTTGATTTTTATTCTTAGCAATTTTTATTGTAAAAATACTTAATGAAATCATTAATCATAATAGAATAGTAGAATAAAGAAAGTTTGAAATTTTAAGTATGAACTTAATGATGATACTCAGGGCTATCCAAAAATAGTAGCAGTGGTACTCTAGTTCCTTATAAAAAAAGCTTGAAAAAATTTCGTCTCTATATGAACTGATAATAAAAACGACGCTCTTTTTTTCTGTGCTATTACATCATTCCTCAAGTCATACCATAATAATAAAATTTTGATAATATCTATTTTTCTGTCATATGTGACGGTAATACTAATGCCTATTTAACAGGCAGAGCGGATATTTTTTTTGAGTAACTTCTGATAGAAACTAGATATAGAGCTGTGGCTTTCATCGTTCGAAATAGGATCGAGATAAAGATGCGTCAAATTGTAAATTATACGGTTTGTTTTGATATAATTCTTTTAAGGTTTTCAATTGATCTCTTTGAAAACAAACCTATCCAGTAAGGTGTTCACAGCAAATTTTCAATTGTTACGGGTATTTTCAAATCGTCAATGGAAGATATACAAAGTTGCACAATTTTCAAATGTTTAGATTTAATTATTCAGGAATTGTAGGTACTCTAGTCGGAGCTCTAAGTGATTTTTCTAGTCATATCTGTAAAAAAGGTTTTTTTCGCTATTTCCTTTTTGATAACAAATTATCATTTTTTTTCCATACTTAGAAAATTGATTAAACAAACTTTAAACCATATACTAGGAAAACGTATCATATACGATTCGATGCATCTTTGTCTCTTATTTCGAACGATGAAATCCACAGCTCTATATCTTATTTCTATCAGAAGTTATTAAGCATTAGTATCACTGTCACCTATGACAGAAGAATAGAATGTCGTTTCCACTATCAGTTCATATAGAGAAGAAGTTTTTTCAAGCTTTTTATAAGGACCTAGAGTATCACTGCCACTACTTTTGGATAGCCCTGGGTATATATAAGCGCAATAAAGCATGAAAACCTTTTCGAAAGGCAATAGATCAGAAGGAAAGAGCGAAATCATGACATCACTGTACAGTAGCAGCGAGAATAGAGAACATTTGAAAAGGGTCTACAGTAAAACCTCTCTAATGTGGATACCATTAGGATTGGTCAAGAAGGCTCACTTTACTGAAGTGCTCATTATCGAGAGGTTGTTAATTTCTTTCTACTACTTATAAGTATTTAGGTACAATCGCTTTTCGACTACACAAGATGATCTTTTTCTTCTTTCCAACAATATGATAAGTCAAACTTTTTTTACTCAGAGGTAACTCAATACGTATTGACGTGATTTGATATTATTGATTGTTAACATAAAAACGACGGGATGGTACACTAAGCACTGCTGCTATTGTCTAACATTGTTCTTTCTTTTCTGTTAAGTATGCACGGTTAGTGCATTTCCTTCTTATATGTGTCCCATGATTGTTTATCATAACATGATACGTATAACATCATTTTTTCTCGTGCTGTGCATAAGTGATAGAACATTTGGTGCTCACATTAGAAAGATTGTTATTGGTCATGGGACTAAAGATAAGCGTCCAGCGCTCAGCACTAGGAGATGCTCAGATAAAGAGGCTTTACTTTATACGAGAGAAAAAAAGAAAAGATAAGTATAAGATGTTAAATGGGATCACCTATGATCTGTATCACCTTGTAGGTCTAACAGTTTAATTTAAACAAAATACTTTTATCTTTACTGAAAAATAGGCTGGACAGCGTATGTCCCACTGTTTTCAAAGGGTTAAAGAGCTTTCATATTGTCCAACACCAAAGCTCTAAAGGATTACTTTGACTATACTACATTTGAATTCCAGCATGAAAAAGCCACTATTTATCTTTATTTGAAAATAATCAATGATTTAATCTGACGTTATTTCGTTGAATAACCATTCTAACATGCTTTATTTGATATACATAATTGAATTTTTACGTCAGTGAAATATTACGATTGATATGAGGATAACATAGACTCAATACATATAATCTTACTCCACTTTTCTGAAAAATATTCTTAAGTAGTTCTTCGAAAACTCCTCGAAAATACATAACAAAATTCCCTAGTGAGTTACAAAAGATTTTAATGGCAGTCGCCCTAAATTTAGAACAAAATTCCCGAAATTTAAGGAACTTTTTTGTTAGAAGATATCTAAAAAATACTGATGCCTTGTAAATTCAATATTATGGCTTGATTTTACAGCAATTTGCTTTTGACTTTGAGCTTTTATCGATAAAAATTTACTTTACAAAAAAAAATAATGTTGTTACTTTTGTTTAAACCATTCTTTCATTGTGAACTAGGGTGTGGGTGTATCAATAATAATTGAATTTTTTAGAATTACAAGCAGTACCACGACGCGTTTCGTCCTCGCTTAAGGGACTCGTCAGGTAAGCTTGAATTCTAAAAATAAATCTGCATATCGATCAAATTCCAAAAATGGACGAAACCCTATGAAAGCTTCAATATAGAACTTCCAACAAATTTTTCGAGGCTGCGGGTGTGAGTGTGCGTGCAAGAGTGTATGTGGGTGTGTGGGTGTCGGTGTGGGATGCGCCTACGGCTGTCCATGTGGATATGGGTGGTACGGCTGTGGGAGATAGGTGTAGGTGTGGGTGTGGGGGGTAGGTTTGAATGTGAATGGTTGTCTGCTGGTGGGTGCGAGCAATTGAGAATATTCACAGCCATATCCCATTCATACTCACATGCACAACCACCGTTAAAACTATTTCGCACCGCTATATACACACCCGCGCGCACTCCCGCAGCCTTAAAAAGATGCTGACAGGTATCTGAATTAGGGAGTCAGAAATATACATTAGCACTATTTCTAAGTAAAGTTCAGCTGCTGATTTTTATTTGAGATTATCACAAAGGACAAATCATACATTAGAAAGTTTTTTTGTTTTGGTGAAAATAGTTCTTTTTAATTTATAATTTGTTCAAAAGGCGAATTTCTGCTGCAGTCACAGACTTTTGAAAAACTGCTCTGCCTTCATCCCATCATACAATAACAGCGCCACTTCTTTTATCAACCGATTTGACGACTGCTATTCGTGTTCTTCCATCGCTGCATTGCACAGTGACTGTCATTCCTGATGTGATTTTCTTCGCAGATCCCCTTGGAATCTGTTTTATAGAACTGTCTGTAGATGTAGTATTTCGCTTCATTTTCGAAGGTTTGTCGAAAAATCTTTGTTTTTTCGAGTTACCAAAAGAATGATATCAAGTCAGGCACGTGTAGTAAGGCTCTCATTTGAAAAGAATCAGAACGATGCAAGTCGATGTGGTCTCGGTCTGCTGTGATAGGCACAGCTTTTATAACAAACAAAAAAAAAATATGATAAGATATATTTGCAAAGCAGAAAGCTTTGATGATCACCAGCGTTACACTACGTTATATTATTATGATCAATGAAAAAAAGAATAACGTAATAATGCTTATCATCGATCCAGCTCTTTTACCAAAATCGAGCCACGACAACACACATGCCTTATCATAGTATTGTCGTTCAGAAAAAGAGCAACGTAAATAATAAACACCATTACGCATTTTTCCTCGTTATTTTCGTAAACAGTCAACGGCAAAAATCGGGATGCATCGGCTCTGATTCGGACCGGTTCCGAAAAATCCAAACCAGTGGAACCGATTGCAACCGCAATCGAAGCCGGTGAGACCCGCTTGAAATCGGAATCGACGAGGACTGGTGAGAACTAAGTAGAATCGTATTTAGTTGACACCACCCAAAGAGATTCAATGCGATCCGTGGATCTTACTGGAGATCAGGATGTGTGGTGCGCGGTGTGGGTGAGCGTGGATGTGGGTGTGGACGTTTAGATGTGGGGGTGAGTGTGAAAGCGGCTGTACGTGTAGGTGTAGATCAGCCTATGATCCCATATACACAGCCACACCTATACACGCACACCCAACCGACAGCCACAGCCACACCGACACTCCACACCCACACCCTCTTTTCGGGGAATACGAAATCTGGATCTTGGCATACCGAGACACAACCTTAGCATATGTGCTGAGGGTGTAGTCCTATTATTTTATTATGAAATCATTCTTAGCAAAAAAATTTATCGCCGAAATGAAAAAAGAGGAACTGATAAGTATGATGGCATCAACTTTATTGCTTGTGTGGAAATTAACAGCTGGCTCTGTGTCAGCATCAATTGTTGTTTTTCAACCGAAGTGTTCGGTTAGAAGATAAGATGCTTGTTAAATCCTTCGTGAATATTCTTTTTCAGATTCATTATTTGCCATATGGCAGTTTTTCTCGGAGGTGGCTATCGAAGAGAGAAACTGATAAAAATTTCAAAATCCAATCGTCAAAGGCGCATGAGGTTGATATAAATACTACCGCAGACAAACACAACAATCACTCCAATTTCATTCAGCATTCAAAGTGAGTGAGTAGTCGCTTAAGATTAGGGGTGGCACATTTACGTTTATTTAATATTAACGCTAACGGTTAACAGTTTTCCTACAAACGTTAATCC